ATTGAAACATTAAAAAGAAAAAAGAAAATAAGACATCCCGAGGATAGGATTTAGTTAAGTGCATCACCTTCAATCTAACAATTTCTTAGATACAAATTGGCAGTTAACTTTTAGACTGCGAGTTATGTACGAGAGATGCGATGCCTCGGAGTTAGTCTCCTATACCTGCTTGATCGCCCGTTGGGGGGCTTTTTCCAGAGCAAATTTTCTCCCATAGAAAAGTTATTGCATGTTAATTTTTTTCATTGTTTTCTTTTGTTCTCCTTTTTCCTTTGCTGGGGTACGGACAGTTGTTAAGGAGGGAAGCATTTGGTTTCGACATTTACCGGACAGACGTAGGTTTATGGTTGGCTTTTTGTCTAGTCTGCAAAAAATTGTTATTTATGGTAGAGTAATAAGGAAGACCCAGGTGATGTGACTGCAGCCTTCTTGGAATCAAACAGCGGAAAGTGTTCCAGTATTTCATATGATTTGTTCTTCGGGACTGTGATGAGATAGTTGCCATTGAAAGCTCTGGTAGCCTCACATATTACCATCTTTCTTTGGGGGATAAGCAATTTGAGATAAAACTGTTGAATCTTCTCTAATAAAAATTCACACCCCCTCCCCTTGGGCGCACTAGCATACGCAGTACGGGTTGCCTTGTTGCTGAAAGTGGAGACGATCCTATCAGTGCTGGTTTCTTAGATGTTTAAATGACGGCTTCCCCACATACCAGAGGGTAGGACCTGGTTTCGTTGACATCCAAGTTTTCGTTCAAAGCTTCAGTACCCGTTACATTTTTCATATACCATCTAAGAATTTAGGATCCCCCATGCAAACTTTCTGCCCAAATAATACAAGTGGCCCTACCGTGATGATATGCTTTGTTTTTTAGGCCAGTAACTTTTTTTTAGGATGACATGAAAATGCTACATGAAAGCAGCGTCGGAAGACAAAATAAAATTGAAATGAAAATGTTCCTTTTTTACATTCACCTAATTTATGTAGGTTCTGAGGATCAAATCACTTGGTGTATGCCTACTTTTAAACGTGACGCTTGCTGAATGCCTTTTTCCTCAAGAAAACTTACTCGGTCTTTGAAAAAATTCAAAGTGTAATTATTCAATAGAAATATATCATGAGTCGAGGAAAAAGAATTGTACTTTTCATGCAGTGTCTTTTTGGGATTTCACTATTCAAGGATCGGCGCGTTCCTGATTTTCTCCACGGGACGAAGCTCTTAAAATGTACTCCTGCAGTTTCTGTGGGCCAAGAAATTGTTTGTGAGAATTGGGTGGAAAATTAAAATTTAATTTGTCAACCTAAACCTAGTACTTAAATTTAAAACAGGATAAAATCTGAAGACCCAAACAACACATTGTTTTTGTTTGAGAGGCCTCAGGGACTTAGGTTGCCCGAAATGCATAATGGCGCTCCGAACTTGGTTGATTTTACACTGTTTTCAACGGAGCTTGAATTAGTGCAGGTTGCACTATACCCCCATACGCGCCCATAGAAAACAGTGCAAAATCAGACCATAATAGCGCCGCTTGTTGACTCTCGGGAAGAGGTTAGGCTCCGTTCTTTTCACTGGAAATTCAAGATTATGGCCTGAAGACCATCATTTTCGTTTAAGTTGTATGGGGGTTAGCCACGAATTTTTTTTATTCGCCTTTCCCGAAATTTTATATCCGTGGTGCCACCGTCTGCAATCAAGTTATGCGCCCTCTATCTCTCCTGAATGCTACAGGGAGATGGGTTCAGTTTCTGTTAGATTTTGTACATAAACCGTTAGGCTTGGCCGGAGTACCAGAAAAGCGGCGAAGAATTCAGGAATTCAGCGAAACTTTTTAATTAAATGTGAGATGCACAGACTCGTTTGTGGAGAAAAAACTACATGTAACTTTTATCTGTCCGTTGCCTTAGCCTTTAAGCGCGCAATATGGACAGTCCCCTGTCCATCGCTGCTTTATGGTATTAATTGTACTGCATTTCTGCCTTTATGGTCGAAGCAGATTGATTACCTGCATTTTAACATGGAGCAGGGGGGGGGGTTATAGCATGTTTAGGCCCCTACAGCTTGCCTAGCAATTAGCATATTCCATAAAGGAAGGAATCATGCCTAACCGAGCACAAACTCTGGCATGTCTAGGGCCAATTCAGATTGGGTCTAGGGACGGAAAGAGTTTCATATAACGCCACATGACCTTCCTCAAGTTCCCGAAAGACTCCAAAATGGGCCACTCTGTAGGAACCCAAGACTGTTTTCATCAGATTTTTTTCCAGAGGGCTTCAAATCTCATCAAGTTGAAGGCATAGTGGCTGCTTTATTTGGTCTCTCATGGATTTTGAAAGATTTGTGGAGGTAAATGGGGTTTAATTTACAAGACTTACTCAGCTTTCCAGAATCCCTGATCTATTTGTATGGTACGTGAATACTGAGAGCTTTCCAATAAACCTTTCTTCCAAACGCCTCTCTCGATATTCAGGTTACTGTCGATGCACAACAAGCTAATGAAACGCTACGAGAAAGAGTTGAAGACCAACACTACACACACAGAGACTATTGCAGCGTTAAACGTAAGCCAAACTAATCACCAATTTACAAGGGAAACAAAGGTCAGTGACCCAATTTCTTGCCACGCCTTTATGCCTAATCCTCATTGACTTTTCTCTCTGTAATTTGCTGAATGTAATGGCAGACGCCATCAGCTTAGTGAGTAGCCTGCCAAATCCAACAGATGAACTGCACAACTAAGATCTTACGATTACTCTTGAGATCAATGAAGTTCAAGAGAAATTAAATTGATCTCCTGCATATTTGGCACAGATAGGATTTGCGAGCAAGACAGAAATATGGCTGCTGTAACTGGCCCAAGCTTAAAGCCAAGGTTTCACCTGGGATTAAATTATCTGCCTGCCCCGTCCTAGAAAAAGGGCTACAAACTGCTGGTCCACCCCCAGCAAAAATGCAAGCACCGATACCTCTTGGTGTCGTCCGAGGCCATGTTTGCATCACACCCAGTGTTCTGCAAGCAAATACAAGCACTACAGCAGCAGTTTTCATTCAGTAGTCATCATGCCCACTTCACACTCTGTCACCAATTAAACTTCATCCATTTGATTCAGCATTCAATTTAAAGCTACTCAAAATTAGAGACTGGCTAATGGAACAAAAAAAGTCCAGTGCTTGCCTTCGGCAGCTGACATGCTCTCTGAGCGGCTTCTTGTGACTCAGCATATGCAGCAAGGTATGAGACAGAGAGAACCCCCCCTGCTTTGTGTTGGTCATTGTCTCGCAGGAATCTGGGGAATTCCTTTCAGACATCGTGGGGGATGTGGTTAGTAACAGTAGTCTGGAATATGTACAGGGTTTGGACATGTTGGGGGGGAGGTACCCCTCGGTCTCATTTCTTGCTGGGTATATGGCTCAGTCTGTCAATAATTAACGTGTGGCAACCTCGGCTTCATTTCTGTTTTTTACTTTATCAGTTTCTTCATTTTTTTATTTTGGGGGGTGTAGAATTTGAGCCAAAGCAGAAACTGCTTGCTTAACATTATTCTTGCCAGTCCTCAAAGCGGCTGGAGAGGTGACCAGATGTCTACCTATCCCTTCTCCGAAAATCAAAGTGTGGTTAAATTGATTTTAAAATCAACTAATTAATGTGGCCATTCAAGTTTTTTTATATGATAAGTAATTCGGCTGATGTGTTTCGCCCTGCAATTTTCTANTTTGGGGGGGGGGGCAGCTTAGAATTCAAGACTTGGAAAATCAGCTGCATCGCTCCAGAGAGCAAGTTCATCGTTTGGAGAAGTTACTGACCCCTAATGGTCGCAGGAGGCGGGCTGGGAGCCGCTCACATAGTGCCTCACCTTTCACAAATTCCCAAGGTCAGTGTGTGCTTTTGTATGAACATTGCTTCTTTACACCTTTGTTACACCGAACAGTTCGGTGTTCCACTATAGAGCTGTGTTAAATTGTAATTACAAAATGAAGCCTGCTGGCCACGTCCATGATGGTGCACAGACCCTTTGCAAATGTGAAATCAAGTACATTTGTAGTATGACTGTATGCATGTCTGCTTCTGTAGACCAAACCAGTGTGTCATCAATGCCAATATGCCAAAACCAACCTGGATTTAGTAATTATAATAATGTGTTTAATTATGCGCTGTGTATGCGCATGTTTGCTGCAGATGAATATTGCTGCGGCTTCTTCAAAGCATCAGACGTGTAGAAACCGCACTTATACTGTTCCTTCCACGTTTTATTTAGAGCATGTTGTTAATTTATTTGATGTTTTTTCAATACAAATTGTTAGTTTTGTTCTATTAAAAATTGCATATGAAGTCCAAATGTCTGTGGTTCCATTGTCAGAGTTCCAACGTTTGAAGAAAGAAAGAGACCAGCTGGCTAAGGACAAGAAGAGACTCAAGAAGGAGTTACAGGGGCTGGATGAGGTAACAAAACTAATTCTGCCCACTGAAAGAGAAAAACAAACAAACTTCAGAAGCAATAAGAAATGTCAGACCTTCCCAGTAGCTTAGTAAGTTTCAATAAATGGTCACTTAAAAAACGATACTTCGCTATGAAATTTCTCTGGGAAAAGAATACCTGGTTCTTTCCTGGCGTTGATTTTTTAAATGATATTGAGGTTGTTGAACAAATTTGGATAAGCCCACATGTAAAGCACTGGTGGGTGGTATTTTGCGATCCTGGGTCTGTCATTGTCACTCGGTTTCGTTTGATTTGGGATGGTAGGGGCTAAATGCAGTTATGCACAGTACAAAAATATTCTCTACACATCATATTGTGTTTTTTCCCAGGGCTTCTTTGATGAAATTGAGGACCTGAAATACGCCCTGCAGCAGTCGGCCAAGCTGAACAAGGAATACGAGAAGGCACTCCGACGAACTTGCAAACAGTTTGGTGTTCCGTACCCAATGAGCAGTGATGACGTCAGAGTGGCATCTCCACACACAAGAGCCAGGCCGAGATGACAATCCTGATTCTAGATTGGATTTTAGGTAGACAGAGGGTTGACTCGGACTGTGTCTGCTCACAGTATGGTGCTATTTAAGGACAAGGAATAGCTCCTTGGCTATGCTGCCTGGTTAGGGGTGAAAGCATTGAAATAAATTGCATCATCTTGTTGGAAATTGAAGCATTCCCAATGAAATCCATCATTCCTCACTAACACTGCGAACTGACAAGTCTTTGATCAGGAATTTGCTAGAGCTCCTACATTGTCACACTTGGAGGATCAATTCATACCCGTCGGCGACAAATCGAATTAAGAAAAATCTGCCCGGGTGTTCTGAGCTATGTTAACGGTACCACCTTCCTGCTCACTTGGGTAATATAAGTACCGGACGACAGCATCCGAACGAAGTTCTTCCCGTTTGCTTGATCTCGGCGGAGCGGTCAGCTTTTCCTTCACGTGGTCTAACTTGACGGCTTCCGCAGGTGCTTATAAGCTTGGGCAAACGTTCGACCCATTCCACGTTACGCACGTCGACGTTAAACATTTCTTGCGCGTACTGATGTCCAAATAAACGCTCGGCTAACGTTCTGTTCAATCTTTCGACGATGCCCAGTGACCTATGAACGCCGGATTCACCAACTTGCACCTGGACGCCTTTTTTAACGGACGTCTTTTAAACTCACCTTCAAATTCCGATCCCGAATCCACCATTAAAAATTTAGGTGAAGTTATAGTTGACCTTTAGTAAATCCGTTTTATGGCTTCTAACGCTTGATGAGCCGTTTTACTGGTCAAAGGTTCTGCTTCTTTGAGTCCCGATCCGACGTACACTGGGGTCAAATCGTATTTGTAAGTTTTGCCCCTATGACCTTTTGGAACTCGATCCCAAGATAGGTATAGCACGTCCGTCTGGTGGGCGTAATTTGGTGCGACCGATTCTTTTTGCAACGTCATTGGCCTGGGTACGTATCCAGGGGTAGGTAGATAAATTTGCCAAAGGCTTGCTTTTTTAACCAAGCTCGTATAACCGATTTGTCCACACCCGTCTTTTGATGCAACTGCTCAACGGCGCTTTCTCCTCGCCAATAGCCTCGGGGACTATAAAATAACTTTGAGAATTCCTCCTCCTTTCCTTTGTCCAAGTTTTAAAAATAAACTTAACCATATAAGCAAAAAAACTGACCAACGTAGTTCCTCCCAAAATCGTACCCGGCACTGTCAAGTTGGCTTTCAAGTTGGATCTAGACGGAGCATCGGACGACATTTATTAATTAAAAAAATTAAAAACTGGTGCAACCAGACTATACAAGCCCAGTTTTTCTGCAACGTTGTACTCCTTCTTTAATGCTTAAAACTTTAAACATTCCTAATTGGTTAAATGCACCGAAAAGTGTACGTACTTTAGAAACTTAAAACTATTCATGTTTTCTGTTCGACAACTGAGGGCGCTGTAGCCATGATATCGTCTTGGAAAGACTTAGTTCAGTGCATAGGTTTTTCCGTTCAAATTGTGAACCCAAATATTTTTTTTCAGAAAACATTAAAAAAAAATGATGCTTGCCTGCTGCTTTGTACATGAATTCGTAAAGAAGAGGAAGTTTACTCCAGCAAAATCTCCAAAAGTGCAGCACTTAGTGTACACAAACCAATGCATCATTGAGGCTTTTTTCCTGAGATGTCGTTAATACTTTTCTCATGAACACGGAACTACTCATTGGCAAAGTAACCAACAAGACAGCACGATACCCTTTGAAATCGTGAAATTCCAAATAAGGCCAACTTAGACACAAGTGTGCATCTTAGAGGTTGGTATAAAAACAAATCGATTGCAAGTACCTTTTATATCAAAAACAAACATTGGAAATTATTTTTGAATAGAAATTAATTGAATGAACATAAGACAATTCACTACATATTTCCGTTCCAAACAAAAATGAGAAAGCGGAGACAAGGGACTCGAAAAGTGGGAAGACAACATCAAACAAAAAAGCAAACCTTGAAGACAATAAAATATGACAAAAAATTTATTTCTTATAAAATGAATGTCGTTCGATACCAGCTTTTACACTGTTTACTGATACTCTAAAACCGTTCCGGACAGAAAGCTCACCTGAAGAACATTCCCGCTTAATTGTCTTCGTTGAAAATACGAAAGAGGAATGATATAAAATGTAATAATATTTTAATACTTAAATGAAAAAGAAGGGCAACTATACGTCAAAATAATTTACCAGTAACAATACTGACTTAATATTAATTCATGGTGGAACAAAACGACGATACAACCAAACATTTATTGTCTGTTATTAATTCTAAAAGTCCAATGGAAGACAGAGGACGTAAGATAAATTGGTTTTCATGGTAAAGCGAGAGAAAAATAAAGATAAACTGAGGATTTTCTCAGAAGCCTTCAAAATGGTGGAAGGCCTTTCAAAATAGCGTCAAAGGTGTCCTTTGGATTTGTTGCCCTCAGTGTAAAAACTGACAAAAAAAACGACGCCAAATAACGTTCAAGATATCAACCAATGGTGCGTTTGGAAGCAGGTAGGCGGATTTGTTTCATGTCAGTGTTTTCTTTAGAATATTAGAGTGGTCAGCGATATAAAGACACGAAAAGCAAACAAACAAACAAACAAACCAACAATGCGTAATTAAATTGTCAGAAAAGGATGTCCAAACATTGAAACCTTTGATTCGCCTTCCTCCCATCTTCAAAAGCTGAATACATGGCAGTTCTCGATAAAATGGGCACATTTCCAAAGCAAGTTGGTTTTATTAAACGACCATGATTATCGCAAACCTCAGACACGCAATCCTCTTATGACGTGAGCAATTCACCCATTACACTAATGGAAGGAAAGAGAGTGCTGAGTGCTAATTGCGACATAATTGGACAGCTTCTTCCATTAAAAGATAATTACAGGTATGGTACTGCTTCAGGCTCTTTATACAAGTGGAATTTTAGATCACGACTATTTTTAAAAAAAAAATCTCGCTGGGACGGCTTGTGTCAAAAATCTGGCTGTGCATCGGGCGGATGTATATGCTTGATAATATTTTCATATTCGTATATAAGATGAGCTCATTTTATATAGTTTATCTAGAGCATGGTTTTTGGACCGGCCTCACTTACAATGCCCCATATCATAACGCACTTGCCCACGCAACCCGACAATTTTCAACAGACTTCGTTGGCAAATCCTTGCAAATGATCGGAGAAGGAAAGAACCCGAGTTGGAGACGGATGAAACTTCATTTCGTAACTTTCATTTTCATTTAAGTTTCTTCAATTTTTGTGGTTTTAGAGCCGAAATAGCTAAGGAACAGCTTAATCTACTAGCCACTCTCTGTGAGTCGAATAGCGGAGATATTCCCATTTCCAACTTAACAGGATTTACACAAACTTTCTCAAAGAATAAACTCTCCAAACCGGGCGCGGGGATCTGTTTTTGGGGAAGGGGTTTAAAGTAAGTCATAATATTAATTTACATGTTCTTGTTTTTACCCTCTTTCCTTTTTTGGCCATTGGGTTTCATTATGCTGCAACTCCTTTTAGTAATCTTCCTCTGGTTTTACAAGTTTCCTTTTTTCCACGATATTTTTCCAGGCATTTTAAATACCATACAATGCTTGGGAAAAAAAACAAAACACAACAAAACAAAGGGGATACGGGTTAAGTAATTCTTTTATACACGTACGTAAAAGCTATGCAAGACACGCAAAAATTCTTTCTTCTTGGACAAAAAATACATGGAAACAGACATAAAAGATGTTTGGATTTATGCAGAAAATTGACTGAACATTGAGGTAGAAGTTACTTAGAAATAACCCGAAGGTAAGCGTTTGTCTGGTTTGGGCGAAAAAACAAGAAATGACGTCCTCTTGTCTGAGTGCACTCATCTTCTCTCACTACATTGTCTCGCAGTAAACCAACGACAAAAAGAACCCATTAAGAGGTGATTTTCTTGAGCGATTTCTTTGGGTGGTTTTCTTAATGAAACCCCGAGAAAGGCTAGTTATAGGAAGAAAAAAAACAGGTAAATTACTACATTCTCCTTTCTCAAGACAAACTGTACGACAGAAATGTGTTAAATGTATGCCACTGACGTATTTCACGCTGCATCGAGGGGAGTTGCGACATGAGGGTCTCAATTGTTGCAACCAAAATGGTGGATTTATAGATCAGTGCACATGGACAATTAGCATGCAATAGCCGTATGGTGCTTTGCTACTACACAGCCATTTTGGTTTCAAGGTTTAAAAATGACGCGGACCTGTATTACATCAGTAATTATCATACGCCCATGAAGATAAGTTTCGTGTACCCCCTTTGTGGCTACGGAGATTAGACTGCAACATAATGTAGGGTTTGCATTGACTTTTCTTTGTTATCCACACGATGAGGAATGTGCAATCAAAGCGTTCCAGTATCTGCCCGCACCCCAGTGCTTCAGGGGCTTTGTTCTCCATGGGGCTGCTGACCAGTTCTGTGGGCCGCTTCCAGCAATAATCGATGGAGGAACACATTGTTTGTGCATACAGCAGACAGTCGGAGACTTCTTTTTCTCGCCCGCTTGGTAGGCAAAGGGGAAAGCATAAGTTATGCAAAGTGTCAACTGGAGTTTTGAGCTGAGAGAATACATGTTTCAATTTGGTTGTCGGTTCCAGGGTAGAAATTCTGGGTTCACAAACGGAGAGCGCACTTCCGCCCATCCATATACATGTAGATGATTAATCGTACGTCTGCGCACTGTTACGTTGTTTAAAGTCTAACTTTGGTAATATGGTTTGATCTTCGTGTCACTTATCCGTATGTCACCGGTGTATACCATGGGACAGTACAGAAAAACGCCTGAAGGGACAGCTTTATTGACAGACACAGTGGAAATTTCCGCAGCCTGATGAGGTCATAATCATTTCACGGAACTAATTTTCGTGACGAGAGCCGGTTCTTACGGTTACGAATCGATTGTGACTTGTTTGACTTCGCTACTTTAACAGCCGACTCAAGTCGCAATTAAGCCTGTTGTCAAAGCAAACATTTTGAGGCTGTGTGTGCCTAAACGGCAGCGACTGGAGAAGATTTGCTTAAGTACACTCACGTAAACACACAGCAGCTTCCAGACGGAGGCTTGGAGACTTGAAACAGACCGGCTCGCCCTCGACGTTAGAGAAAGCGCGTCTCCGCGTCAACACCAATGGGGATCAGAGTGAAACCCATCGAGGATGATATCAGCATCATCTCCTTCAACACCGATGAAGTTAAAATCGACAAACGAGAGAGGGACAAGGAGACCACAGGGGATAGTCTCAAGACGGGTCGCGCGGGGCCACAGAAGGGGTCAAAGTATCACAGCTCCCGCTGCACCAAGTTCCTGGCGACATGGTCATCGACTCTACCTGACGCCGTAGGAATCACGGGGATTCAGTACATAGTCAGCAACCAGGACCATATTCTTAGAAGGTGCGTTTACGGCGACGCCGGCAGTGTTAAGGCGACGCCGGCGGTGTTAAATTAATTTTGTCTTTGGACCAATACTGAGCCAGTCATAATGTTTGTTTGTCACATTACACACTCGCAAATTCTCCAACATCCCTTAATCTCTGTTCTTCATAACTTGTCCCTTCCGGTGAATCTCTAAGCAGCAAACACCGACTATAGATACCACACATTTTGTTTCATTCGACTCAATAGAAGGCTTATTTTGAACAACTGCTTAACGACGAGTCCTGGTCAGAGCTACGCATCGGTTCATCTTTTTGGTAATCAAGACAGAGCAAGCCCGTGTTTTTGACTGGATCATTTGCAGATTAATTAAAAGCCGAAAAAAGGACAGTTCGGCTCGTAAAATACGGAAGTTTGACACCCTAAATCATTTGATGTCGTTAGACTAGGCCATTCCCGGTAATGTTTCTGTCTCTTTTTCATTAATGATGTCAAGACTGTGAACTGTTCCAAAAAGTACACAATTGCGCAATAATGTGCAAGAATTTGAAAGTAAATCACAGTGAGCTTAAACACAGTCACAAACACTTGCTATTAGATTCACCTTATGCAGCCTTCGTTAAAAATGTAAAATTCAGAAAGCAAAAACCATGAAACTCAACATGCCCCAAAGAACTCGAAGTGGGGCTTTTGAGACGGACTTGAGGTTTTCGGTACTCTCCGCACAGGTTTGTTTGGCTGTTGGCGCTGTTCGGGGGATTTGCAGCTGCTTCCTACCAGACCATCGACAGAACAATTTACTTCCTCAGTAACCCCAAGAGCGTAGACTACGAGATCAAGTACATCAGCCCGCTGGAATTCCCCGCCGTCACCGTCTGCAACTACAACAGTTACAGGTGGGACTTTCGTGAAAAACTTGATCCGACCATGCCATTCATCATCTCTGGCACTGAGGTATTTGTCCGTTGTGCACCCAACGGTTCGTAAAATGGCGACACCGTGATACTCAGTCACAACCAACACTCACTGTTTTCAGCAACGGCGCCATCAACAAACAGCATTCTACGGCATAACTATCGCCCAAACAATCAAGAACATAGTATTCAATAGAAACTCACTCTTGACTCTTTGTTGTCACTCATCCTTTCTCTTCCAGAAACGCTGCGTTATTTAGCAACGTTACCTACCATCCGTTTGCTTTTTTGCTGTCCGAGGTTTCAAACGCAATACACACGCAGCAACCAGTCAACTACTCCTATTACGAAACTTACCTTACTGACGTCAATACGACAGAAATGTATCTGCAACTTGCACACGAAATGGAATATTCTCAAATGTTAATCGTGTAAGTTCTATTTTATTTGAGAGAATTTCCTCCGGTGCATTTTCGTATTGTCCAAAACAATGCTTGTTTAACCCCTCGTCATGAAAAATGTTTTAATGATCATTATTAAAGCTTCGTGGGTATCGTCTATGGCAGGGGACGTTTTCATTTTTTTGTGTGTGTTCTAAGGAATATACAACTTGACAAATACTGAGGAATGTGCTGGGCTTCACAAAAAATTAAATAAAAAACTGGAATCCTGATATTAGAATATGTCCTAAGCTTTCACACTGTGCCCAATATAATAGGGGGTTTTCTAGACAACATTGAAGAAAACGGGTCCTAACGATAATTTCTGTATTCACTGTGACCTGCCATTTGGAAGAACTTCCAGTGGTGGACTTTGGTTGTTCATTTTAAACCCACCCCACACCATATCTTTCCCTTGTCCAGGGCTTACTGGGATGGATGGGGAAGTGTAACCTCTGCTAACTTCACCCGAGTCATCACGGATTTTGGTGTTTGCTACACGTTCAACGCAGGGCAGGCCGGACAAGAGCTCCTGAAGCAGAAAGTTGCAGGTATTGGGACGATACCCAACAACTCTCGCTGTTTTGGTTTCATTATGTTTTTATATCTTCCATAGTTTTCCTGAGCAAACGTAATACGTTAGTATGCATATCAATGGTATTGTGACCTAAACTGCCCCAAGTATATTATGGTGGCAGCAGAGGCGAATGCAGCGCAGACCAGTGAAGGTTTCCTTTCCTCTCGTGCAAACACGACCCTAAGTGCCAACACCTTCAAAAACGTCTAAGGCACGGGACACCATGACACCGTGACGCTTGCATTGGTCCTTGGGGCCTTGCTCCCTTCCAACCAAGAGGTGCAAGTGCCATGGAAGCACCACCTTAGGCAAGAAATCTCGTCAAATTTGTATTCAAAAGGGTCAAATACAAAACAAGAATGATATTTGAAGATCTGGATCTGGACAGTTAGGACTGCACTTTCATTATTATAGATTGCGGTACCCGCTGCTACATCTGACTCGGACCGGCCAGCCGACCCCGGAAAACTTGCTTTTCGAGTGGTTAAGACATCTGCTGCACTATACCAGGAGGTCTAGGGTTTGAGTTCCGCCCGAGAAAGCCTGTGAATTTGTCATTTGTGAAGCTGTCGGACAAATACGGAGAATACAGTGCTTTATATTCAACAGTTGTTTTGGTCATACCTCTGTCTTAATTATGTTGAGACTGAGGAATTTATACAAAGAAACGAGCTCTGAATTTTAGAAGTTCAGAAGACGCTAGGCCTACTGTCAAACTGAATAACAGACGTAAACGATATCATATGCCAATGCAACTATTCCCTCACTTTTAAACTCACTTTTAGTGAGTACTATTTCACGTCATGTAGTCTGGTCAGCTGTTTCTGCATTACCTTATACGCTGTGGGAACAGGAACGAGTCTGTTTCACGAGCGCAACCATAGATCGAATTCGCAGATAACCTATGCACAAAACGTATCATTGTTACCACGCAAAACTGTCTCAATGAGCGACAATAGTCGCTCTTGATCTTCCTGAACCTCTCGATCTTCTGTCTCGTGCGCGTGCAAGTGCTATCGGCAGAATGAGATGTCTCGCGGTGAGTGTGATATGCGTATATATCGCCCGGTCATGTGATCGCTCTGGGCCAACGATCAGACATTATCCAAAACCCGTTATTAAACATATTAAAGTACCCTCATTGGAAACAGGAAGGGTGACAGGTTTGATTCCTATGCGTGATGAACTAGGGCATGTCATGGCACCTAAGACTTGTGTATGGTTGGATTTTTAAGGACATTAATTTCCGGCCGTATGATCTCAAATAATTACATTTTACGTGGGCCTCATTTTGTGGGCTTGTGTTGCCGTTTGAACTAAGACCAAGACTAGACGCCGTGCAAATGAGTGTGACAATAGCACAGCAACAGTGGGGCAGGGGCGCTAAACGCCGAACTTTAATAGAGCAGTGTGTTGCGAATTCCATTTGGAACGACTATAGCGCAGCACACCCAGTCGAGCTAAAGGGATTTCCGTGCCGAATTTAATACCGCCGTTTCACAATAGTGCGCCAACAAGAATTGGCAACACGTTGGCCAATCACAATGCGCGAAATTAGTCGGCCCAATGCGCGTTTGGCCAACACATTAAAAACTCTTAGTGGCGCACTATTGTGAATCGCCCGTATTGCCGTGATTCACAGTAGCGCGCCTCCAAGAGTTTGCAACGCGTGGGCTGATCACAACGCGCGAAATCTTTCGACCCATTCCAAACGCGCCTTGGGTCGATAGATTTCGCGTAGTGTGATTGGCCAACGCGTTGCAAACTCTTGGAGGCGCACTATTGTGGATCGCCCGTATTACGCCGCATTATCATCTATAGTCTTTCTTTTTTTAATATATGTATTATCAGCTCATTCTTCCCCATGTTATTATGGAACTAATCATAATTATATTCTTTATAGGGAAGGGACATGGACTGAGTCTGATGTTGGATGCACAGCAGTACTTTTACTTCTATTCCTCCAAGGCACTTCAAGTTTCCGCAGGCTTTGTCGTTGCGATACACAACCAGAGTGAGGTGCCACAAGTGGATTCCCTTGGAGTGGGCGTGGCACCAGGCACTGAGGTCCGGATTGGCCTCAAAAGGAAAGAGGTATTTTGAAAGACTCTGTCTGGCCAATGGATGCACACATGGACACTCTGGCATGCATTCATAATAACCGCATTGGAGCCAGTTAAGGTTTAAGTTGTTACACAAGTGTAAACTGCATCCAACTCTGAGTTTGGTTTTTTAAAGAGGGGTTCTAAAAAAATCGGAAGTCGAATTGTGACAGTGAACTCCGCATAATAGTGCTTTACACAGGCCTTCGTTTTTTGAAACTTTCCAGTACATATATGATTCGCCATCTATATCCTTCATTATCTAACCCCACTTTAGAACTGTTTAGGCCCTTTTAAAACCAGTTTTGCACAGTGCGTGCGACTCCCAAAGAATTTGGAATATTTTGGTTCTCATACACAAAAACACCGAGTAGACATAGGCCAAGTAAAACTGGCTCAAAGAGGAAATTAATCAACGAAGCCTTTCCTGAAGCTTGCCCTTCTTCGGGCTGCCCATCTGAAGTCAGAGTAAGAAAGTTAATTTTAAAATCTGAAATCTTTCGGCTCTTTCACGAGGAGAAACGTTACGTACCATAGGCCTACATGCATAATTTATACTACGGGCCCTTCTTAACAAGTACTGTACCACTAAAAATTTTAAATATTTCTCTGCAAGTTCAAACAAAAGTACGGAATACAACCTCAACATGGACAATAATGTCTTTCTAATTTTTTTATGAGGCTATCAATCTTGAACCTCCGCACGGAGAATGCGGCTCCAAGGAACTGAAATATTTCAGTTCCTATTCAATAAACTCGTGTCGCCAGGAATGCCTGACGGATTTTGTTCTGGAGGGGTGCGGCTGTGTCGAGCCGTACATGGCAGGTAAGAATTGCAAACCTGTTCCAGAAAGATAGCACAGTCCGCATCAGGCCGATGTGAAAACTGTAATCTGCTGTCATTTTGCTATGGACAAAAGGATGATAACGGGGAAATTGGACATACATGTACATAGGATTGAAATGTGAATGATTGTATGCCTTAGCTGCGTTTAAATGGCTATGCCCCCACAAGCGGCAGTTATGTTCAAAGACATGATGGGATATACTCTTCAAGTGCATTAACATTGGACTGAAGAACGTACAATCTAAAGTTGAAGTGAGTGCTAGATGTCGTGAGGTTATTAGGCAAACCTCTTTAGTTGCTCAAACAAACAGTCTCAAATCAATCTTCTTTTCTTTCCAGTGCCTAGTGATTTGCCAGTCTGCAATCCTGCCAAAGTATTTTCCTGTGTTTACACTGAAACAGGTAAATTGCCATCAGCATACACATTTCAAATAAATTAAAGGTGTCTTTGAGAAGTAGTCACTGATAGGGGCCCTGAAAGTGCCATCCGACTTGCTGAAATCCTGACACACCTCAGAATACAATATATTACAGGCTATATCACTATTCGGAGCTTTGTCACGGGATGAAAACATTCTGGGATGATAAAGCATAGGATGGCAACATCCTGTTAGTAGGAAGTCGACATCTTCAAGTAATATATCACAGGAAGAGGAGATCCTAATGGAATCCATCACGGGATAATGACAAAGTGCATTGGGATCTCGATATCCTAAGTTAATGTTTTTTGTTGGCGACATTCAAAATGGGTTTCGATATACATGTATCTTGTCGGCAAAAAGGTCTTCACCCTGAGATAAAATATGTCAGGATCTTCACAAATAGCATGTCACTTCCAGAGGACCATAAGACCACAAGGATGGAAATGAACAAGATCCGAAAAAGAAGATTGGAAAAAATATTCTAATTGATGGAATACATTAACCAGAAAAAGTGATAAATAAACTGTGACTGGCTGGAAAGCATTGGCCAACGAGTACTTTCCTTGCCACACAGCCCACACGTAAATCGGACTGCTACTTAGGTATCCGTAGCTGACTTTTTTCATCCTTTTCCACATCAAGAGATTTCTTTGATACTTTTGAGCTGAATAAGCACGCAAACCTTTCAGAAATCGTTCTTTCCTCTCCAAAATCATGATTTTTACCTCTATATCTGTGCTCGTTTTGGTATTATGCAGAAAGGTTCAACAGCGACGGAGTTTGTGAGTGTCCTATTCCATGCCAACAGACGACCTACACAACTAGTTTATCGTTCGCAACCTTCCCTTCTGATTTTTATATCCAGACGCTTGTAAACTTGTACAGCGACTTCAACGTTACACCGGAATACTTTTCGTAAGTTATAGTCAACATTTAGTTTGTTGAAATTCCTGACTGTCCAACTGTCAAAGACGGCAGCGCACCCAGAGCAGAAAGGAAAATTCGGACGCCTTCGAAAAGTTGGAAGATCGACAAAATTACCCTACGGATGTTCAACAAAATACAAGAAAACAACACTCTAAGATCACAAAAAAGTGTCTCTCTCCGAAATTTGGACGTTGGGAAAGTTTCGAACTATCTTTTTCGTAGCTCATTGAATTTCATCATTGAAAAAATTAAAGGCCCATGCGCTAACAAGCACTATGGCCATTGGTAGGCCTACCTACAGAACAGGCATGGAACACTTAATCCGGCCCGGAACTGGTGTAAGATTAGTCAATGGGTGGCCGGGGTTGCTGTCAGATATTCATTACAAAACATATTTTTCTGTGATACACTGCAAAATAAGGGCAATAAAGGGATATACATTGTACTCTCGGCAGACTCTTGAAGACAACCAATGTGCCTTATCGTCCACGCTAAAACGAATCCAACATTTTACATATGCAAGGCCTCCAAAGGTCTCGAAAGCCTTTAGTGAGATCTGTATAATGAGCTTTATTCAAAAGTACGTCCTTGATATTCCACCCTTTCAAAATATTGTGCTTTTACTCTCTAGTTCCAACACGCTGAAGATTGAAATTTACTACGAGGAGCTGAGTGTGGAGAGTATGGAGCAGCAAGAAGCATACACGTTCTTTGCATTGCTATGTAGGTATACTGCTCAAAAATGGCTGGTACATGACTTCTTACCTTAACACTTGGTAACGTGCTTTTTCCTCTGCCGTCTTACGGTATCATTTTGTATAATTCGCATCATTCATGCACACCTTTTCACAAAGAGTGACCTCAATGAAATCTGCGCCCTTCAGGATCCCGCTCGCAAATTTTCAAGGCCGGGCAATTTTAGGTTTCCCATCGCCTACCCCCAGCCCCACTCGGCAGCACGGACACACGTCACTCGATGCCACTGACGAGGATTTGACTCATTGACAGAGATGGTTTTAGCAATGAAGGCTCAAAACATGGACCAAGAGAACCGATGGTGTCTGTTTTTGTTCCATTTTCACCTCAGGTGACCTTGGGGGCGCCCTAGGCCTGTGGCTGGGAGGTAGCATCCTTACCTTCGTAGAGATACTGGACCACTTTGGCCACACTGCGTTCCTTCGAGGTACAGCGTTCCAACATTCTTAAAGCATCTTGTATGTATATTTATGTGTTGCCCTAACCAACATTTGAGCCTAACTGGAAACGATGATACTCTGTAAATATTTATTTTACAAAAACAGTCAGGGATACACGATGATTTCGTTTTTGAAAACCTGCGTTTTTGCTTCATAGAATTGGCAACAGTAATATCGGCGTATCCCAACTGTGGTTTTTTTTGGAGTGCGGTTTTGCCACAAACATCATGAAATATGAACCTGTGTTTTGTAAATTTTTTGAACAGTGTTTATTAAATCTTTTGTAGTGAAAATAAACAGAAAAAGTAATATAGTTTTGGTGTTAATAAAGCAAGAATTATATGATTGCTTCAAGAGAATTTCATGAAGTAATAAATCCCTTCTTTTGCTGTTTTGTCCTGCATTCATACTTTAAAGTGGCACCTGCAATATAACCAGGCACTTACCGTAGTAAAGCCCCTTAGATTGTTCAATGCATTATTCACACTGAAGTATCACTTTTGCCAATTCTCACGTTGCAAGTTGAAAACTCGTGTTTGATTCCACTCATGCAGGATGACATGTTACATGTATTTTCGGTCCGTACTTGATGGTGAATATTCCAGTGATATCTGTCTGGACATTGATTTTCAATCCATTTTGGCTGTTCAGAAGTTGGAAAAATACCGTTAAATTCCAGCCTTTTTTACTCGCCGCGAAAGTGCGTGTCGGGTGGGGATGGTTCAATTTCCCACCCCCTTGTTCTGGGGCTGATACTCCCTTAAGACTTATGTCATCTACCTGAATGCTATACTGGGAGTATAATGGTTACATCGTACATAATACAACCACACAGCAGAGCATAGCTTAATATGTGTATATCACAGTCTCTACAACGGGGAGGGTCACATAATGAGCTTATTGCTTCTCATATCGGTTTACGCGCAGTGCAAGGCCACTATTAGTACAGTAAGGTACTAAAATTCTAATGTGATTAGCGACGAAGGCCTTTATTAATAATTGGAAGATAATAGCACGCCGTATTTCGATGGACCGCTTGTGCTTAAGTCTACATTTTTAAAGGGTCAAATATTTTTTTGTTTTAAGGTCTGTTTTTAAGATATAAATTTTGTCCAACTGTATTTTTACAATAAATATTTGTCACATTTGTATAGGTTTCTCTTTACGAGAGTTATTTTCAGAGACATTGTTTCTGTTTGGGGAGAACATTGTTTCCACTAGGTACATTTTACCAAGTCTGCTTTTCGAAATTATAATAGTTTGTTTTCATGAGATCTATTCTTAGAAACATAGGTTTTAATTTGTCTTTACACAAAAATATGCTACAAAAATATTTTTATATAAAGCGAGATAGTTTATACAGTCGCTGCAGCTTGAAATTCTGAAAAAGGCTTGAGAGAGGCAGAGAGGGCAATTTCGGAAAAATCAATTCCCAGACAGACATCCTTGTAACAATGTTCTTTGCTGGCAAAATACACCATTAAATGCGGAATGAAACGCACTTTGCATATTATCCTCGGTGGAAACTGAATCGAGTTGTCGACTTGCAAAGTGAGCACACAAAGTGTCCCTCCAAACAAAATGGGTATGAGTAAACAATGTCCATTTTAGACAAAATGTAAATTGAGAGTATTTATAATATACAGGATGTCCCAGAACAGACCATGAGGAAAGGGGTTAATATGCCCAAACCATGAGATATGATTATAATGTATAAGGATCTTCGAAAAGTAGAAGCAGTATTCTTTCTAATGATACCTTGATGGTATCCCTCCTGTCATGCATGACTAAACATTATTGTCTTAAAAATGGGGCATCCGAACTCAGTTGTAACACTTTGGATAAACCAGTGAATGAGGTTGTCCTCGTATTTGGGCATATTAACCCCTTTCCTCAGGGTTTTTTTTCTGGAACACCCATTATATATATCTTGAAACAGGATACTTAGCATTACTAAACTTACGGTGTTATCTTGTTTGCCTAAAGCTATATATACCCCGGTCATTAGCAGTCAAAAGGGCATACAGATTTGTTCACATCTTCATGTGATCACTTAGATTATTTTGTGGCTTATCAAAGAACACAGCAACAACAATATTTACAAAATAGTGAGGGAGCAGAGAAACGTGAAACAATCAAATTCCCGGTTCCTCACAGTTGGAAAAAGAAAAGATTGACAGTTTTCACGAGCGACATTTCTTCCGTAATATGCCACTCAGAAATATCACTTAGCAGATGTATCCTTCATACCCAGGATGCTTCAAACGGACTGCATTTAAAGTGCCGATCTCATGTAAACACTAAATAACAATAGACAAGGCGTGCTTCGGGTCTTGTCTACAAGCCTTCTGGTGACCAAATGGGGTTTCAATCAGGTTCCTACTCGGTCTTCCTTACAGCCTGCAGCACACGTTTTGCATTAACGATAAAAAAACAATTTAAATGTCCTCTTGGGCTAATGACACGTCGCATATGACAGTCGAGCAATGAATTTGTCGGCAGCTAAAAACATCGTCTCGTGGCTCTTCGCTCAGCCAATACGTTCTCATGGCTCCCTTCCCCTGAAAGACGAGCAAACCCATCGTTTTTCAAAGTGGCTTCTTGAGCCTTCCAATAATTGCAAAATTGCTTGAACAACTGAGACAGAAACAATTCAATCTGAAAAGAGCTGGTATACGGGGATAGGTCTCTAAGTTGGGATCAGTTAGCTAGCCCCTGACAGATGATGTTCAGTACTGTGGTTCCAAAACATTTCGGCGTGACAGGCTTTTGACGGGTGCGCTTTTACACGCTGACAGCCTGGCTATATGCCATGTTTAGAAGAGAAACTAGCACCAAAATGAGAAATCATTCTTCCCCTAATTACAGTGGGTGATGTTGTAAATATACAGTCTGCCTTTTCCACCATAGTTTTCTTTTTAAAGTTAACAGTTAATCAGTGTAACGATTTTTATCATCGGGAGGGGTATCAGGTGGGCTGAGGAAATAAAGACAAGGCTTGCCCAGAAATAATGTCTCGCTCACAAGCACTTCCCTTAGATTCTGAACCACTTACTTTGACAGCTGTCGATCCGCGGGGGACAATCACGAACTTCCTCCTTGGTGGATTTGTCCTGTTGAGAAGCTGTTCCCTTGTGCTGGCGCTTATTTGGATTCTCTGAGCTAGCAGAATATAGACAACCACAAACCGTTGCAGTGATTCATGATAATTCGCAATGCAAACCTGCACCTTTGGAAGGCCAGAATGTTTATTGAACGACAGTGAATATTATCCTTCCCCCTTGACTTCTCATTGTGCCTACTGGGTTCAATTTAGGATCCATTCATACCTACAGATCCTGTTTGTCAGCAGATACCACACTGAATGCATTTTAATAACTCCTGCTTATTTCACAGTTGCGTACCCTTGTTTCTCTGAATAGATGAACGTCATTCGGATTGCACTCTTGAACTAGCTGGTTTCACAAGAATTTGAACACAATTTGTTTCCAGCCCGAAGAATGTAGAAAGAGTTGAAAGAGGTTACGCTATCAAAGCGTGGTTCGACTTTGTATGCTAGTGAGAAATGAATCGTCATCGATGTATTTTGTGACAAACTAATATCAGTTGTTTTTAGCTAGGTCCTTCAATGTTACCTTAAATCTTTTTCAAACAGTGAGTGAGATATCTCAAACCCTTAAGGCATATCTTGTCGTTGTAGTGGGTCATTTCAAGGTAGATTATGAAAGCTTTCAAATTAATTGTAAGGCAATGGACAATCAGGACATGGGAAAGAGAGAGTGCTGTTTACTCGGCAACCATTGCTCTAACGATTTCTGTAATCGGTCCAAGGTCCTAGTTCAGATGTCAAGTAGTATAAAATTACACTAAACACCTCCAGCCCTTCGCAGCTAATAAAACATTCATAATACCGGTTTATATCCCCATGGCAACACTACAACAATTATGAATTGCAGTGACACTCAGGGCAGTGGGCTTAATTGCAATAAACAGGAAGGAAAGAATGCCGTTATGTCAAACACCTCTGTTGTGCACTTCGGGTGCGAAGGGAGAAACAGTTCAGCCCAATTAGAGAGCTGCGCCGTTCATGTAATAGCGAGGTAAGGAATAGCAATGAGGTACCTCTGCTAGTAGACTCCATTCGTGAGGCGGTGTTTACGGTGTCCCCGAAGAGACAATACCTAGGCATCTTGATGCCAACAACTCCTGCGACACATGAACCTAGGTGGTACGAAAGACATGAATCATAGTATTAAAAAAGCTACAATAAAGACTGATTACTATCATAAAGGCCATTATTCCTGTAGCCAAACCTCAGTTGGAGAAATGAGTCGGAATCTGAATCAGAATGGACCAAGCGCTGTTAATGTCCTGTCACTGAAACATCCCGAAACCAATTTTCGAAGTATTGTTCCTCTTGGATCGAAATACCTAAGGGATCAAACCTTAACCAGCAGCAACATAGCGCGTGTATACTTAGATTGTCACTAAAGGCAGTTTATAAAAATGAAATACAAACTAAATTACATGTAAATTCATGACTGAGTAGATAGAGCAGTTTTTTATATCAAGGAAATTTGAGCACCGAGCTTTCCATTTTTATCCATTACTAGTAACAATGAGCTTTGTCTTGATCATTATCTTTGGTTTGAAGAGGGCAGGGGCGAATCCAGGATGTTCCCAAAGGGGGAGTGAGTCCGGATTTCCAAAAAAAGGGAGGGTGGGGCGTGAACGAATGTAGCAATGGTAAAATGCCCCCGAGCGCGTTACGCGAAGCCCTTACGGCGTACGGTCCGGGACATTCTTGGATTTTAGGCGCTCAGTGACGCAATTTCAGGCAGTATGACCCCTCTTTTTTCTTCTCCCTCACTCTTTTTCTTCTTTCTTTCTTTCTTTATTTATTGTTTTGGTGAAAAGGGTGCATGCGCTCCCCCACCCCCCGGATCTGCCCCTGGAGGGTATGTCCGCTGACTCGAACATTCAGAGATCAAGTACGTGTATTAGTTCGAGTGAGGCTTGAATCACCTGAATGCAAGCCGACTCTCAGACCAAGGTTTTCCCCAGGCAGGTGTGGGATCCGGAACAACTGGACCTCCCTTAGCAGGTCCAGCGCCATACAGGCGATCTCACAGGCGTGGTGTTCAGTAGGTTCGGGCAGGCCCGAGGCCACCATGTAGGCGTCGCCTATCGTCTCCACCTTGTACACGTCGTACATGTCGATGTAATTGTCGAAGGTGCTGAAAATAATTAGAATAACCTTTACGGTAGAACTGCTTTGCTGACAAACTTTCACCGGTTGAGAATAAAACGGTTATTAGTCTATACAATTTATAATATGCATACAATTGAAACATGTATACATTTTTGCCGAGCAACTTAGACTTTTTGAATCAACAAAAAATCTCAAGTCTATATTTCGACATCCTCCATTAAAGAGACTACAATCCTTCATTTACTTGGGCATCTACTTAATGAGAGCCACTGGGAACTAGCAGTAATTAGGTTTGGTGACACTAGCAAACACGAAAATTATTCCGCTGCGATTTCACCTCGTTAATACCCATTAAATTGGTCCCTAGGTAGCTTTGGGCACGTCAAACAGTTTAAAAACAATAACCAAATAACGCCTTGATGCTTTTAAGTCAAAATTCGATTTCATAACGTCTCAAAAAAAATGTCGGAACGCTCCTCAGCAGTTCCTCAATCGTTAATTTGTCCCAAGTGTTAGCAGGTATAAGCTTCCGTTCTGAAATGCGTTTTTAACAATGGGTAAGATGAACAGGAATACGTTAGTGTTATAGAGGGATCCCAACACGACGCTTTTAACGTCGATCTGCGCACTTCCGCGCTTGAAAACGAGGCTGTATGTGTCAGTTTCAATTCTTACTGCGATCAGAAGATTGAAAGTAATGAGTCAAGACAGATATACGTAAAAATATTTTAATTGTCAAGAAAGTACTCGCTTCCCTGAAAACCTCGTTTTGGTGTGTACAATACCGGTACATATCTTGCGCCGCAGTTCTTTCACACACTTCCCCTGCATAATGCGGTGCAAGTTAAATTCCATCTGTGGCCATACAACAATAATTATCACTCCCATGTTGTGCTGCGCATCCTTGCTGTCAATAAAGATAAATCGATGCACTTTTTAACGTGTTGATTACAAAACCAGTGAAAATGTTGACTTGTTTGTTTTTAATTATAACAGGCACCAAAACAGCTAGTTTGCCTCTCCACTTTGAGCCTCGAGGGAACAAGTTCTCTGCGAGTGGGCAACAGTATAGTTTCCTTATACCGAGACAGATTCCCCCTTAAAAACAAAGTGATTTTGAGGGAAAGGTCACTCAGATGATATATGATTGTACGTGAAACTGCATAGGGTTCACTTAATCACGTGTACTCTTTGAAAGGGCTAGGTTTTCCACTGATGGATTTGCGCCTGAAGATGTTGAGCAAGTTTGGATTTTTGCCTTGCCTGATGTGTATTATAACACTGTATTTTCAGTGTTTGCCCCAGAAGGCTTGTGAAAAAAAATAAGCATACTCGGGTGGGACTCGAGTTCGAGTTCAAGTCACCCATCTTTCAAATTGATGAAAAAACCTCAATTATCTGCTAAACCTAGCTGGTAAAATGGCTGCAGAAGTTGTTTCATTACTGTGGCTCCCAAACCTGGATGCACTTTAATCAGCATCGCTATCCACTGGGAAACAGCACAACTTTCACCTCGCCATTCATAAAAAATCCTCCCCTATCGAGTGAGCTGTGCATGTCGTTATTGCCTCTTCACTCTTGTTAAAACCTCCCTCCGCTTATAGAAGCTCGAGCTTATACTTAGGAAATTCACTGGATTGCTGCTTTTAGTTGCAAAAGAGTCCTGTCTCTCTCCGTTGATTCTGTCTGTTGCAGGCAGACCAAATGAGTGCAGTGAGGCAGGACCTCATGAATGTTTCCAACGCTATAATATAAACGCGTAAATACTACTGTATCAAGTGCACAAAACATTATCGCGAGGAGGAGTTCTAGTGAAAGGGTCTTTGCTGCTGATATTCATTCTGTAGTTGAGGCTTCATTTTTCGGTTCATTTTAGAGGAGCCCTCTACCGTATAATGGCTATCTAATGTTATTAACAGTGGGTGGGTTCGAATAGCTTCATCGGGTTTACACAGTCGTGCTTGTTTCATACACATCACAAACTACCGTTGGAGCTCAGGCTTGCCCTCCTTGGAAGCTACTCAAATGCGCCTGATGCTGTGAGCAGAAACAAATATGCAAGAAGACTAACCATGACACTCCTTGCTGTGATATTTCGCTTCAACTATTTAATAGCTTACGAAAGATTTCAAGTCAGTGTGCGCTGTCATAATTTTTCGAAATAATAAATTTGAAACAATCGGAAATCTCCTTCTCAGAAAGAGAAAGCAAAACTAGTCACATACCTGTAGAGGTCATTTAGAAACTCTACAATCTGCATTGGGGTACTTCTTGCGGCCAAGTTGGTGAACTCGACGATGTCGCTGAAGTAGATGGTGACGTTATCAAACTCTTCAGCGACCATTTGTCGCTTCTGTCGCAGTTTATCGGCCACGCCGCGAGGCATCATCTGATACAGCAGCTTCTCGGTGGTTCGTTTCTCCTTGGTGAGTTCTTTCGTTTTCTCGCTGAGATTTCGGGCATAGTGGCCGATCTTTCGAAGCAGTTGCTTCGCCTGAACCAGCTGAAAAATGGCTAGTGACAATGATACCACGATAGTCAGTACCAGCACGGCAACGTTCCCCACCACAGCCTGCAAGGCACTAGCTATGATCTCGTCTACCTTCAGTCCGATGAAATCTGATTCCTCTTGGATTACCGCCGCCAGAATCTCAATGAAGATTGTCATGTTTTCGAACCAGTACTCAGACCGTCGTGAGGCCTCGATTTCGCCGTAGTCGGTACATGGATTCCCTCCCCTCAGGATTTCGTTTCGCATCGTGAGAATGTTGGGCCCGTTTGGTTCCTTCAAGCGCACAAGTTCCCGGAATGTGACGGCTGCCGTTGCCGAGTACAAGAATACCGTCTGGATCTGGCTTTCGCTGCTAAAGTAAAGGTTTCGGAACCAGTCAAGGTCTGCCGGCCGGAGGGAACAACCGGCGTAGAAGCTGCTTCCGAGAGCCCTCTGTATGCCGTAGAGATCAGATAGGAGGAGGAGATTGTCTTTGCAGACGATGCGAGGCCAAAGTGTTCCCTCCATGAGGTTTGTACTTTGTCTGAAGGATTCAGTCAACAGCTGTCGAACGATATCTGTGTAGAATTTTATAGGATGTGTGATTGCTAACTCACTGCCCTTTGAATCTACGTGCAGCCTGTAATCATTAATGTCATTCGTCAGTCTCTCCTTTGTTGTGTATACTTTACCGGAGACATTCAATGCAGAGAACACCTTGATGTTTTCAATTGCCTGATTTGTTACGGATCGCTTTTGCCTAAGTGTTTCTTTCACTCCCTCTTCTGTTCGATTCCCGCTGACGTAAGTTGCAGTGAGGCCTCGCTCGACCTGAAGAGCGAGGATCACTGCCGTGATCCGCTCACCACTATCGATGGCCGCTAGAGCAGCTTGGGAGTCCTGCAGCTGAGATACGGTCGATGACAGGGACAGGGCAGACATGACGGTCAGGGCCACCAGAGGGATGAGAACTACTACCAGCATCTTTACCATGCTCTGAATGTTGCTCTGTCCGTCTGTTGCCTTCTCCAGCACGAGCTTCATCTGCTGTTTTTCTCCAGTCAGCGTGCTGGTTGAGCCCCGACTCGTGCAGCCGTCGCCGGCCACGTCGAGCCGGTGCACCAACTCACGAGAGTTTCCGATTACTAAACTCAACGTCGGCGACACGCGCGATCGTCTTTTCCAAGCAGTAAACATTTTGCAAGAAAAATGAACCAAGATCAACGAGAAGCTGCTTGAGAATGGAGTGAAATAAGAATGACACTACCTCTCAGCGATCAGAGTTACCAAATGATACTGTGTGCCTGACCTTACCATAGCAACGCTGGCACTCTTCTCCGAGAGTCGCGATCGAGCACATCTGTCCTGCGGTTGATGAGTAACGTCATAAGCAGATCTTGGTGTCGTCGTTGGCTTTTAATTTGTTTTACATACAGCGAAGGTACAAGCCTCAGGCGATTAAAAAGCTTAATCAGATGTTGAACTCTTCATATGAATTCACACTTATATGTATGTATTGACTTTCCGGACAAAAACTCAATAAGTGATACACGTTGAGGCCGAGGGATCGCCGGTTGTCATTTATTCGTATAGGGATTCGTTTGTTTTTTCTTGAACAAATTTTGAGCTCTTTCATAAAGAGCTTTTACAGTCACTCATACTTTAATTAAATAAACATTCACTTGCAAAGAACCATGGAAAGACCCTGTCACGTCAATGGCAGGTGGAGATGTGACGAATTCGGTTTTTAATGGTAGTTTTGCAACCGCGCCATCCACTGACAACAAATGTCCTTTTTCCTCTTGGAGTACATTAAAATAATAGAGGGGTACGTGTTGAAATGACTGTCTACTTTAAGATGCTTAAAAATGACATGATTGGCATGGTAACCACTTCCTGTCGGCAGCGTTTATCTATTTAATTTAGATTGTTTTTATGAGCTGTTTTTGGAAGGAAATGTTAAAGATAAAAAGGTTGATGGATAACACAAACTTAGAGTGGCTGGCTATGGACTTCCTTCGAAAAACCAATATTTTGGAGTTTGTCTCTGTTACCAAAATATCTTCCGGACATAAAGAATGCATCAGAAATAATGATGAAGCAGACCTAAGGCTGTCTGTGTAAATTCGATCAGGTTTCCAAAAAGGACTCAGTGTCAAACTGTTGTCATTTATGAAACCGCTGATTCAACGAGAATTTGACATTGTCATCATCTGACTGTGCTTGGCCGATGATTGCCTTTATTTTTTGAAGGTTTCTTCTGTTACCTTCCAATTATGTTCGTTCCCAACGCCCCTATTGGGATTTACTGATACCCTTCGCCTTTTAAGGACTTTACGAAGGAGATCCCGGTCTGGTCCCAAGACGTAAAGATACCGATTTTTTTAGACGTCTAGGTCGGGTAGCCACTACTGGTCGCGCAACTGAAGCGGGATAAACTCCGAAAATGTTGGAAGCTGTCCGAATTTTTCCAAACCCATTTTGTTGTCTTCGAATCGCCTCTCTTCGCGCATGGCCCAACATACATCACAAATCGAAAAATAGTTCCTCAATTTCTCCTGACTTTTTTGCATACTATTCTCTAGTTTCGAGTAACTAGGATAAGCTGACTGCTATAAAAAGTAACTCACGTGTGCGGGCTACATCTAACAATACAGGGGAGCGTTTTATGTTGTGTTCGATTAGTTTACACGTAGTAACCGTGACCAAGGGATGGAAGCGTGTGCTCTGTCAACCAAACAAGACTGTGTGGGGGAGGTTAATCCCGAGTCAACCGTTGGTCGGTAAAGCGTGTGTTCTACGAAATGATATAAAATCGAAAGATGATTGAAAGAAAAATGAAACTTTTCACCTCAACTTCAGTTGCAAATTTATGGTTAGACTGTGGTCATCGAGGGGTATATTTCGAAATTTAACTCTGGCCAATCAAGCCGCTGAAGGTAGTCGTGACTCCAGTCACCCGCTTCCTTCAAATACATTCTTCCCGGGTCACCATATACTGAGAATCATGTGAAAGAGCAGCTCATTACGTGATGGCTTAACATGGCAGGAATTACACAAACGGAATTTGGATGCATCCAAATTTCAATGTTAGTTTTACTATCTAATTAGGCCTTTGAAATAAACTAAATAGACAAGGTAAGACATGAGAAACTCCCCTTCCCTTTAAATTAATGCATACACATTCTGTGTCATGTGTTATGGCGCGTGTGGCGAAAAGCCCCTTTTCTGGCGAGATCGACGTTTGATTGTAGGTTCCCTCCATGGTCCATGGGGAATTGTAACAAAGGCAGTCTCAATCCAATTCAATTTTATTGCCAACATCAAGCCAGCCAATTCCCTTGTTGTTTCTCTTCTGATCAAGTCTATGGGCGAGGAAAAAATATGTCCCTCCAATTGGGTCGTTTGCCGTGTATGTGTGTGTACAAAAAAGACATACATTTTTGTAAAAATTTGCATTAGAGCAAAAATATAGATGTTGGCATTTCGTGACCATCATTTAAAGCATTGATTGATGGAAGGCAACATAGCACCAGTGAAGACACTGTAATCGTTACACTCAGATACATTCAGTACTTTGTACGATGAAGGACGGATGGATTCGAGTTAAAATCACATTAGTTTTCTGTGCATACCCGTTTACAACTTCACTGTAAAAACTCGGGTTTTAACATCAACACTTTTGGGTATTATTAGATGACCACACCATAGGGTGTTACTTTAACACTGATGATATTACTTTGCACACCTATAAGTGCTACAGTGCACTAGAAGGTGTTACAAGTAACACCAAATAACACCAAACATTTAACACCAGTGAAAAGTGTTGGTGTAGTCTTCTGATAACACCACGGCGGTTAAATTTAACACCCCAGTTTTTTCAGTGTTAATGTTGATTTCCAGTAAGTAATCAATACGACATTATATCCGACTCTGTATTTCAATTTAATACAGACTGTTATGCATGTCATGAAAAAGTTTCATATCGCCTCCGCGAATCTTAATAATTATATATCAAAGTATGGCATTGAGTTTCAGCTTACATTACCACATCACTTTAATTCCCTTGAAGCAAAAACACGGCGAAAAATGACCCGTGTCTTTCTGTAACGTGCACTATTATACATAGTGTTTAAAAAGGAAACCCGACTTTAAACGGTTACTGTGGCAAAGCTACACACTTTCTAGCCGAAAACTTGGCATCATCTCAAAGGAGAGAACAAATGCTTTCCAATGATGCCTTATTCATGATTTTACCGTTATACCCATCACTGAGCACCAATGTGTTGAAATTTATGTGCATAATTGGCGATGGCTCACTTTGACATGAGACAAAATTAACACTGAATCATGTTTTTCTCCTATTTTTTTCCCTTTAACCCAGTCAAGACATTTTTAAAGACATTTCATTTTTCATTGCCTAATGCCCTCCACGCGACCCACTCCCCTCACCATACGCAGTGGGCATGACGTCTCATGTCGTTCACAGCTCGCCGCCGTCCGTCCGGGATGGCAACTGGCTGGAAACTGTAAGCTGCATCAATGTGACCTCAGGTTCACACACTGTCCGAGGACCTAATGTTGCTGTTTTGTTTCAATAGCGCTTTCAGCTACTCAGGGTATTTGCGCCAATAACTACGGTATACGTTTACTCATAACCTTTATTACTTAATCAGCATCACATTACGGAGTTAGAAAGACGGTCCAGTTTTAGAGGCAGGAGAAAACCAGAGCACCCGGAGAAAACTTGCGAGAGCGAGTATTGACTGGAAACCAAATGAACTTAAAACCTGGGCCAAGCCGGGACTCGAACCCGGGCCTCTTTGATGCAAAGCGAGGAAAAACAAACCCGCCCCCACCTCTCTGAGGACCTGTCAAAGCGCTCAGGTTGTTATCCGAGAGCGGTAGCATAATTAGCAAAGGCATTCCCACTCACACCCTAATCAATTATGAAAGAGGCAATGTTGAAGGTGCTGGAAAGTGAGCCGTCCTAAATTATGCACCTAAATTTCAACACATTGGTGCTCAGTCATGGTAAAATCATGAATGAGGTATCATTGGAAAGCATTTGTCCTCTACTTTGAGATGATACCAGGTTTTCCGCCAGAAAGTGTGTAGCTTTTCCATAATTACCATTTAAATTTGGGTTTCCTTTTTATACACCAATGTACAATATCCCATTGAAGCATCGCACTGAAATACACGTTCTGTGTGGATACAAATCCCATCTGAATATCCTAAGTAACAGCAGTGCCTTCAGGTGAACTCACTGAAAAGGACGTTGACGATTTCGCGGTTCTGAATTGACTTTGTGTGAATAAACTCGACGGTTGCAAGGGACAATCAGTGTGAGAGCATTGTGATAACTTCATTCTTGAGGGTGTCAAAGACGTACTCGGAAGACCTACAAGTCAGCAGAAGGAATAAAAATTGAGCCAAAGACGAAGCAGAGAGATCAATCAGCACTGCAAATCTCTCAAAGGATTTGGGTTTTCTGCATTGATGAAATTTGCCTTTCGGGGAACGGGGAAGGCAATGGAATGAATCAGGACATCAACAGCCACAGATACAGTTGTTTTCTTATTTACATATTGTATGAGCTGAATTCAGCATTTACACTCCAATCGCAAAGTGCTTCTACAACAGAGAGTGTGACATGGTGTCCGAAGACATTTTTGTTGTGCGTATTGTTTCACGATAGCCTCGAGGTGATGTGACAAACGACTGATCGACGTTCGTATTGGTCTTTTATAGTGCGCAAACACGCACGCGGACTTCGAAACCCAAAATGGCTCCTTTAATCTGAATTTTTTTAACTCTACGGGCCTGTTTGTTTCATGCGGACCTGGATCTTGATGAGTGATCCTAACGCTGGTTCGCGCAATCCACTATGCGGGTTTTGGTGTCCGTAAACCAACGACCTATCGTTGATCGCTGAACACGGCCTGTAGCTCTAATGTAGCTGAAGCTGTGGTGATGTGTACGATGAGATCATTAGAACCATAGCTATAGGCATCTCTCAAGAAGTGTGGTTACAGCTTAATTCATGCCTCAGGCTGTGGGTTTAGGCGAAGTGTAGAAAATATGTTTTGAAAAACCGTTCGCACAAAGTGCGCGCTCATCTTGTTCTAGGTTTTAACAGCCAGTTCCTCAGTACAAACTGCACAAATATCTTTTGTGTTATACAAGTTCCCCCTTTTCGCCTACAATAGACCAATTGGGCCAGCTAAATCACGTGACCTATAGCGAATATCTAACATCAGCAAACATATTGTTTACCAAAACTAAAACCGACGGTCGGTACAACGCAGAGACTATTGACTTGCTGAGATCCGCACTGACAATTGGCTTAATGTTTTGTAAACAACACCTACTAACGAACTTTGGTATGGGAGAACTCCATGTTTATTGATGCTTGATAGGCACTATTGGTCACGTGACTCAGCGGCGCAGTCGGTTTGTTAGTGTCATATCGTTTTAGTTGTCACAAGGCAGTAAATGTACTCCTTTTCATTCAGTCCACAAACAATAAAAACACATGTATTATTTTGCAACAATAATTCATATATAAATATCCACTTGAATTCAAATGGTTTTAATATCTTTTACTCGTGCTTATATATACAACTGCATAATGCACAACTACATCTGAATAGAAACATCATTTATAATATCAAAGGGTAAGGTTTTCAGGTTAGGCCATCTGACGTTTGAGACTTCACTGTGTTTCGGGCAGCGGAATTCAGAACATAATGAGCGTGAAAATTATAAGCTTTACTCTTCCGACATCCCTTTTTGATGTCGAACTGGTGTCTTTCGTTCATGACGTTTTAATGGTTGTTAAGCAATGAAAATCTTTTTTTTAATTTTTTTTTATTTTATTTTATTCATTTTTTTTTTTTTTTTGCGTTTTTCATATATGCCCTTTTAGGCAGACTTTTTAATAAATAAACCGCCCCAATCCTTATTGTGGCATGCAACATTTTGAGGGGAAAATCCAGTGTGCGCCGTGTTAAACTTTTGGAAATACAGTTATCCTCTTCACTTCTACCATTTTTGCTATCCGGTTCGTAAGTGACTTCGTCACAAAGGCAAAAGCGCCACGATTTGCAGGCTCTCATTGGACAATCGCTGAAGGCGCGCGTTAACTTCCGGTTCCATGGTTCCATGTAAACGGCGATCAATGCATGTAACCCTATGCGCAGTGCACGTGTGCAGTGGGCGTGGTCAAACCGAAGTGACGTCACACTTACCAACCGAATAGGTTCTTAAACTGTCTTAGCCACAATTGAAAATCTCATAGCATTTCGATGACGCTGCAATTGGAGAAAAATAACTGCTATTAACTGCCACAAATGTGTAGACATGATATTGATTCATCGAAGCAATGAAGTTGTTATCACACTATATCAAGTATCAACGACCACTAGTAAACACTTTATTGACACCAGCTATATAATTCTTAATGAAATTATTGTCCACCTTTCGAGGAAATAATAGATAGTGAGTTTTGTGAGACAAAAGCCTGTAAAATATGAGCTTTTAACATTATGCTGCACGCAACAAGGTATATAAGCCAATAAAAACAGCTACGTCCAACGAGAGGTGCAATTCAGCTTGTATTGCTCATTCGGATGATGCCTGACATTTAGACCATCTTGATGCTGTCCAAACACCATTGCCACTCTCGGTGCTGCAGTGAATGTAACCATGAAAAGGTACACATTGAGCTGATGATTTAAAATTCACAACAGCTGCCCCAGCCCAATGTTGTTCTAGAAAACATCTTAACTAGCCATCCAACAGTGAAAATACCTTTATGGCGTGGTTTAACATAAAGGTAATTTTTCTATCCAACCTGTACGTTTTCCTCTTGTTCAAACAGTGGGCTTGGCGAAGAAATGTACTTCATGGTTTTGTGCACGTTGGAGTGTCTGTCAACGCCTTGATCAAACACATGGTTCTATCGACTGCACATGGCGCAAAGCGAGTAATGACTTTGTCGCTCGCGCTGTTGGCTCTACGCACACATTATTGGAGGTCCGAAGTGTAGCGAACCCATCCACGTCAGTCAAAGTGCGACGGGGAGACAACCACGTGTCTGACTGGCCCTAGATCCACCTGGTCCCAGGGTTCCTCTGTCAGCCAGTAAGTCTGCATGGCTCCTTTGCCCTGAAAGATACGCAGAAAGTCCCATAATGCACCCTTCACAGACGTCATATTCAAAAAAAAAATCTGGACCTCTGAGCCAATTATTAGCACACAAACGTAAGCGTATCTCGTATAAACGACATAGCAATGTCGTTTCAACGAGATAAGTCGTTTAAACTGGATGAGGTCACTCACTTTGATAAGTGTGGTCTCCCGGGCAACAATCAGGAACTTTCTCTTCGACTGGTAGGCCTTCGTCACCAACTCGTTCCTGGTCGCTTGGCTTATCTGGATTCTCTGAGCTGTCAAGGGAAGGAAGCAAAACCAAGAACCAAACGATCATTTTAGTGCAGTGCATTTGTTTAAAATGCTACCTCCAGTAGCGTAAACGGATGAATTGGGTGTAGAGAGGCAGATTGCATTGGGCTGGGTATTGGAAAAGCACAATCGGGAACCTGAAAAAAGCTAAATTAATAGGGCAAAATTCATTAGAAATGCAATGTAGGGAGGACGAAACTAAACCGTAAATACAGTCCCGAATCAATTGTCTTCATATACAAATTTAGTATATGGAACCACAGCAAGACGAAACATTTACTGTCTATTAAGCAAACACAATTCACGCTATGCACTTTGTCATAACATTTGATATTCTGTTTCCTACAAGGGCAAGGGACAACATTAACATTGTCTATATCTGTACAGGATAGCCACTGCCAGACAGCACTGTCACCTGCTCAATTTATTTTCTTTCTACACAAGTTATGCATCCTGTTTGACCCTGAGTCTGCTTCATAACCCCAAAAACCTATGCTTGGTTCTTTCAAGATGTAATTTGCATAATTAGAGTCCCTTAACCAATTCAAACGTACTGCAAGGTATCTCGTTATGCTAATGTTCTCTTTTTCCGAAGACCGATCCCTCACACGCACCTGATTGTGAAATAGACTTAGTCATAATACTATAGCAAAATATTGCTAGTTTACATGGCCCTGTAGTATCGCATGCATTTAATTCCCTGAAAATGTTCCAGCCGAAAAAGGAAAGCCACACATTAAAAAAAGAAGGATAACTAATAATAACCCCCCGGGCAATTTTGTGGGTAAAAACAATTTATGTTATGTCCTACATACGCTTCCGTAAGCTGCAAAGCCTGCTAAAATAATCTGAAATAATTGGACCCTACACTGATCTTGTATCAAGCTTTTAAATGCCCCCTTACATCAGCCTGGAAAACGTTTAGTCAGTGTAGCTAGGAAACTGACAACAGTAAAGCGTTAGGAAAAGAACAAACCCGACAACCCGAAACAAAAGTTTAAAGCGCAGCAAAGAAAAACTGACAAATTTTGCTATCGTCCACATCAGTTTTCTGCGAATGAAATTGCAACATCAACCCCTGACAGCCAAAGCTGTTTCATAATTCATTGCTGTCGTCTTCAGTCATCATTGCAGTCGTCTGGCTTTTTTCCGTAGAGACTGATCAAAATTGATGTTGATTTCAAAGAGCTGCCAAAGGCACTTTGTTAGCCAAATGTCGAAGGAAAATTGGATCTAATCTCTCTTCTCTCTCTTGGATATGAATGGCTTCGATAGATATCTTCGAGCATGGGAGTTGGTCGTTTTTTATCTCCCGTGGTAACCCCGTCTTCCATCGGGTGCGATTTAGCCGAAGAAGCGAAGACACAGGCCCCCAGTTGCTGTTACTTCTCTTCGTGAAAGGCGCAATCATTTCCGCATGTCAGTTTGTCGGAAAGGTAATTTCGTTGAGGAATCAACGTTTGGTCTGAGCAGCTATATGGACCAGCTTGTCTTAGGTTTGCTCCTGGAAAGTGCACGTCTTGATGAAAGGATGTTATGCTTTGAATTTACGGCAAAGTAAAACATTAAAAAATAATGAGAATTTCATGATAACCAGGGAAAAGAAAATCGCAAAAAGCCATATTGAAGCCGGATCGTATCAAAGTTTGTATCCTGATGTTTGTATCCTGAAGTATGATTTTATATCAAAATATAAAAAAATTCGTTAGATATAGTTTTACATAGTGCAAACAATCTAATGGCCTATTAAATCTTTAAAGAAAATTACTTTGTACAGTCGTATGACTCGACACCTCCAAGCATTGCCTTTATCTTTGAGCTCATGTCAAAATTTACTTGTGTCGAAGGTATTTTGTTCACACAACTCACAATGCAGCGTAATTGCTTAATTTCGCCCTTCTGTGGAAATAAGTCATGAAGCCGAGCAGGAATGGAGTAAATTAAAGTCCTTCGAAAATCACATAAGAATCGACCTTTGAACAGGGTGCACCGAAAATCAATGTCTGTACATACCAGAAGAAGAGCGATAGATTACAAAGTATTCGTCGAAACTCGTTCACTCTGGAAATACCTTGAACAATGGGTTGGAAAAGTGGTAGCACCTACACTGATTAACATTAAAAGCCCAATGCAATTGACCTTATTGACGGGAAGCCATTTTCAAAAATAATCTTGTTCCCTGAATCTATCATATTCAGTAAAATCCGTTAAAATGGGGTGATGCCAGACTATTTGGGGTTCCAAATCTTACTTAATTTTTTAATGTGGCTTAAAACATTGAGATATCATTCATCACAAATTTTAAATTATTCTTAAAAACTGGCATGAAATTGTTTCGAACTTTACTTCGTCGCTCTTACTTTTACTCTCAGGTTTCTGAAATGAAATGCTTTGCTTCAATTTCAATTCAAGATAACTCACACCTGACTACAGTTTATTCTCCTACGTTATGTTGGCAAAACAAACCAATAGTTCCCCCCCCTTATGCCCATGGGGCCGCAATAATCAGAGTTAGTACCTGGGGTTCAAGATGCAGGCGCGTATTATAACTTTTTATTCAGAAAATATAAGGATAAACCGGCATTACTCTGGAGCGTCTTGATTTCAGACGTCGCTCTTTTCATGAGCTGAACTCAGTGCAAGTTTATGTAAATGTACGGTAATTAGGAAATTTGGGTTTGAAAACTCCAACAATCTGTCAGCAGCTTTAGAGTTACGGATTTAAAAGTAAGCGTACGTGACCATTGGCCCAAAAGATGTGGATGACGTCATAGCAGTGCATACAGTACGTTAGACACAGACAGAAATTTACTGATAATTACTCAGTGAGTGATAGGTAACTGATTGGCTGAGTCACGTTGGAAACACATATTCATCCTTTCTTTTTCTAGCCGGACTAACCATGCATAAACAGGGCTTCACTTTTGCCAGTATTCATCAACCTCGTTTCCATGGCATCGAGCAGTGTGCCCTACCTGCTCTCTTAATGGAATGGATCATTTGCACACCGGAAAACTTTGAATATGTTTACGAAGGAGGAATAGTCTGATGCCTAACCGTGCTTTCAATAAGCCTTTGTTTTACCATGCAGCGGTGTCTGGTATTAAAACAGACTTAACTAGCCGAGAAAATTTGCCTTGTGGATTGCAATTTTCAAATATGAAAACATTTTATCCAACCAATATGAAGTATCTCATTGTTATAATTACGATCAAAATGGAGAAGAGGGGATTGATTAAACCGGCAAACTTAAAAACTCGTCAAACACCAAATACACAAATTAAATTGTTCGCTCGCTACTGCTACATCGAATCAGGATACAAGAAGGAGGTCTTCTTTCCCTGCGTTACAATGGAAGCCAAACTGAAAAAAAAATGAGGTAATCACCCGGGGTGGGGTTGAATTTATGTTTATATCTCGTGCATAATAATGTTTATGAACAAAATCATCTACAATGCAAGTGCCGTTTCATCAACGTGGCCTGGGTGTTGGTTGCCAGCTTCAAGCATCATGCTTACAAAATTTCATCCGTATCATAATCTATGTAATTTTTTCATCAACGTGGCCTTGGTTTTGCTTGGTAGCTTAAGGCTTTTTAGTGCATATATGTTTACACAAAATAATCTATAACATAATCATTGTTTTATCAATATGAACTTAGTTGTTACTTATAGTAATGTCCCTATAAATTAAGTGTTCTTGCGTTTGCATGCATGCAGTGATATTTTTGTAGGCGCTCGAATTTGTCCTGGGTCCCTGGATCTTCTTTAGGTCCTAAGCCCAGGATAGCACAGGCCTTTCAAGCAATCCCCGTTGATTTTCACTTAACTCTTCAGTTTCGAGTCTGAGAAATATTCTCATGGTATGAATAATTTAGTGACTTGTTACATTTACCTTAGCTCCTGGTAATACAGAATTGAAGGATTTAGGTACCTTCTCCACAATCGAATCATATCGCGCGTCCAGTCGTAAGGATGGCAAAATGGTGTGACATTTCATTTTAAAGGTAACAGATGCCTCATAATGAGCAAAATAAGGAAAATTACATAGTATATACAGTTTCAGCATTTAAAGAAATTTTAAAAAGACAGAAATATCCGCCGGTAATTCAATATTTCAAGTCGTCATGCGGTCGTCCACTGAATACAACCGTGGTCTTGAAGAATAGTCGGAATAGACGTTCGGTCGATGAACTCTCAAATGAGTGGCTGATGACGGATATAAACGTTACAATGAGGAAGGCCCGCTGAAATTCTTAAGCAGCGGCTTGGGGTCCGCAGAGTGTTTTTTTTTTTTTTTTTTTTTTTTTTTTTTTTTTTTTGAAAACCCCAGACTGAAAAAAAAATTTTTTTTGTTTGAAAAAAAAAA